CAGACAGACAGACAGACAGACAGACAGACAGACAGAAACAGGGAGATAAATAAATAAAAAATAAGTGAGCCCCTGATCTGAGGAAAATAGAGGTTATTATGAAGTTATGAAGTAATTAGTTCTTCATCCTGATTTAATTCAAAAAGTTGCAGTTCTGAAGATCAGTGGGACTAATCCCCATATTTGTTGGCCTGGAAAACCTTGGAAGAAAATAAAAACAAAAGAGGCAAGGGCAATCGTAAAATAGAAAAATTCCTTGAAATGAACCATCCCATAGAACAAAACAAGCATCCCATTCAGTGGTGGGATTCAAAATTGTTCACTACTGGTTCTGTGGGTGTCGCTTGGTGGGCGTGGCATGGCTTGGTGGGCGTGGCAGGGGAAGGATACTGTAAAATCTCCATTCCCTCCCGATCAGCTGGGACTCGGGTGGCAGAGAATAGATGAGGGCGGGGCCAGCCAGAGGTAGTATTTACTGGTTCCCCAAACTACTCAAAATTTCCCCTAACGGTTCTCCAGAACTGGTCAGAACCTGCTGAATACCAAAACTGATCCCATTCCTGGTCTTCAAATCTGAGCTAGGTGCTGATGCTCTGTTTAACTCACAGCGGTCCCAATTCTGACTTTGTTTCTCATCTGTGTCTTCCTCTTCCCCTTCTCCAGAAGCCCCCTCAGGGGTTACATTGTCATTCCAGGCATCCAGTGACCCCAGAGGACTGGTGACTATGCAGCTGCGTTGCCAAGGCACCTTCAATCCTGTGGAAATTGAATGGTTTAAAGATAAGCAGTCCCTGATTCCTGCCGGAAGCCATTACCAGCTCAGTCCTGATAAAATGCATCTCACCATCTGGAATTTCACTGCTCCCCAGGATCTGGGAGATTACAGCACCATCTGCTCCAATCCACTGGGATCACGGGGATCTAACCTCACTATTATTGGTGAGCTATCCCCATGCAAGGAGAGACAATGCTAGACAAGTTATATTAGAACAGGTTGTGTTTGAATTTCTGTTTCCAAGTGAAGGCAGTTGTTAAGCGAATCGCACCAGATTTTGCAACCGTTGTGGGGGTTTTTTTTGCCTCAGTTGTTAAGCAAATCACTTCTGTTGTTAAGGGACTCATTCAGACATCTCCCATTAAGATTGTATTTGTCAGAAGATGGCTGGGAAAGATACAAATAGTGATTGCACGACCCCAGGGAATGCTGAAACTGTCATAAGTACACCCAGTTGCCAATTTTGATCACGTGACCAGGGGGTTGCTATGATAGTCATAAGCGCGAGGAGCAGTCATCAATTTTTTCCAGTGATGTTGTAACTTTGAATGGTTGCTAAATTAAGTTTACTTGCACTTATTCGGAACATCAGTTTAGTTGATGTCAAACTGTAGGTCCTCTCTTTCTCATCAAATATCTGTTTTTTGGATAAGGCCACAGTCTTAAACTCTCTGCTCTCTACTGTAAACCAGATTAATCCTGTAAACAGGATTACAGGCAGGGGTGGGTTCCTGCCAGTTCTAAGCTCTTCTATAGAAGAGGTTCCACAAATCTACAGTGCCATTTAGAACCGGTTCCAGTTCCCTCCCCCCACCCGTCCGCACATCATCAAGATGAAGAGCGAGAGGAGGAATTCTGGGAGTTGAAGTCCACAAGTCTTAAAGCTGTCGAGTGTGAACACCCCTGGGGTTTTATTTTTCTAAAGGGTTAGGGGTGCAAGGGTCTTGTAACTTTGACAGCTTTAAGACTTGAGTGCTTCAAATGCCAGAGTTTCTGAGCCAACATTTTGGTTGCTAAGCAAGAGCGTTGTTAAGTGAGTTTCACCACATTTTACAAGTTGGCCATGCCCACCCAGTCACATGGCTGGCAACCACTCCCACTCGGTCACATGACTGCCAAGCCACTCCCACAAAGCAGGCCACACCTACAGAAGAGGTTCTAAAAAATTTTGAAACCCACGACTGATTACGGGGTAGGAAGGGGTACTTTGAAAAAAAGAAAAGCCACAGCCATAATGTTTAATTCTTGAGACGCGTCTAAAATTAGAAGTTGTATATGTGTGTAATGAGAGAGAGTACGAATTAAGAATTAAGGTTGCCAATTAGGAGTCTTCTTCAGTCTTCTCGTTGTCGGGAAGCTCAGCACGGAGCAGAAGGGTGGGGGGTGTCCTCACAATTCACTTGCAAACTGAGCAGAGCTGAGAACTAGAGATAGGTGTAAACTTATCTAATGAGAACTTGAGCTTGGATCTCTCTGATTCCAACACATTCACTAGTATGTTATTAATTAATACATTTATAAACTGTCACACTGGATGTCAGCCCTTCCCAGGTAAACCAGACAGGAAATGTAAGTTAATTCTATTTTACTATAAAGCTGCATTAACAGAATCTTGCAATTCTGAAAGTACAGTTCTCCCAACATCACCCTTGCAGTCCAGTAATTTAGGGGGGGGGGGAGGTTGTCCTTCCTAAGCTTTTTCTCCTTACGCTATGCAGCTGTGGGCTGTGCTGCCTCTTATCCAACTGTTCCAGGTGTCAGCAACCTGTGGCTCTGGAGCCGCATGTGGCTCTTTCGTTCCTCTGCTGCAGCTCCCTGTCGCTGGTCAGTTCCACAATTGATGGAGCTTTCGGTTAGGACAGGTAGAAGAAAAAGGACGCCGCGCTAGGAGGAGACTCTATGGTGGGGGAACCAGACTTTCGGTCGGCTTCAGAATTGAATGGGGGGCTTCCGGTTAGGACCTTGTGGCTCTTTAAGGTTGCCGACCCTTGGACTGTTCCCTTGGCAAAATTTATTCATCCTTCTCCCAAGGTCACTCCCGCGTGCCATTACATCATGCTCTCGCCATGCGTTGGTAAGCCATCACACCATAGGTTTTAACTTGGGGAGGGTCTGATTGCTTGCATTTCATATCTATGTAAAAACAAACAAAGAGGGAGTTTGCTTCTCTTGGCAGGCCCCTCGATCTCTGACTGGACTTTGTCAAGTGGACCCCATCCAGGCACTGCCACTCTGACTTGGACAGTCCCGAATGGATCAGTGGTGACCAGTTTTGTGATTCAGATGCAAGGTCCGAAACAACACCGTTCTGCTGAGGAATGGAGTACAGTGGAAGTACTAGGAGCTGCCAACCGATCCACAACTGTTGTAGGACTGCAGCCCCAAACAACTTACGCTTTCCGGATAGTGCCTCATCTGGGATCCCAAGCTGGGAACGCCACTCAGATTCACACCCTCCACCCAGGTAGGTGCTCAGATTTAGTAGCCGCAGGGTTTGCAGGTGGTTTCGGGAATATATTACCAAACCACAATATGAAGATACTATCCTATCTTCACACATGCAAACCAACACTAATGACTTGGATTAACAAAAACAAAAGAATCTGTTGGAAGCTCTTATGCCTTAAAACTTCAAGAGCTGATAACATTTAAGAAGAACAACTTGGCTTTTTGGGAGAGACTGTCAGGGTTCCAAGGATGATCCCAGGTTGTATGTATGTATGTATGTATGTATGTATGTATGTATGTATGTATGTATGTATGTATCTATGTATGCATGCATGCATGCATGCATCTATCTATCTATCTATCTATCTATCTATCTATCTATCTATCTATCTATCTATCTATCTATCTATCTAACTCTCACTCTCACTCTCACTTTCTCTCTCTCTCTCTCTCTCTATCTATCTATCTATCTCTATATCTATCTATCTATCTCACTCTCACTCACTCTCTCTCTATATATATATATATTTATCTATCTATCTTGCTCTCTCTCTCGCTATCTATCTATCTCTATATCTATCTATCTATCTATCTATCTATCTATCTCTATCTATCTATCTCTATCTATCATCTTTATCTATTTATCTCTATCTATCTCTATCTCTATCTCTATCACTATTTCTATCTCTCTCTCTCTCTATCTATCTATCTATCTATCTATCTATCTATCTATCTATCTATCATCTCTATCTCTATCTATCTATCTATATCTCTATCTCTATCTATCTATATCTTTATCTATATATCTCTATCTCTATCTCTCCCACTCTATCTATCTATCTATCTATCTATCTATCTATCTATCTATCTATCTATCTATCTATCTATCTATCTATCATCTTTTTCTCTCTCCCTCTCCCCCCCTCTGTGTGTGTGTGTATATGTGTGTATATATATATATATAAGATATATTTCTCAATGTGATGACATCACTTAGAGCAACGGCAATTTCAGTTTTGTGGTCACATTAGTAAACTCAGCAAACTCTGATAAGTATTGAACAAATCCGCAGCTTTGATTCATTATGATGTTGTTAAAATCCAATAAAGCCAATTCAGTATAAGGACAATGCTTGCTGTGTACTTTAAACTCTTTTACAGTAATCATCAAAGTACGATTGAAGGAGCTCTGTATTTCTCCATGCTGCCAAAAAATCTTTAGGAAAAAATAACTTACCAGGATTCTGGCCTCTTATGAAACTAGCTATAGATTTAAAAGCTCAGAATCTAACTTCACTTTTAGCATGAAATTTGAGGATAGAACAATGTCCCAAGTCATCTGATAAAAAGAAACTCTTAGTGGAACAAACCTCCTGTCTTAAACCACCCACCCAAATCTGGCTATTTCTACTTTTAACAGATTGCAGAGTGTTTGGAAAATCTAGCACAGAGTTTCTTTAATCTGCATAATTTTAAGACATGTGGACTTCAACTCCCAGAATTCCCCAGCCAACATGCTGAGCAGGGAATTCTGGGTGTTGAAGACCAGACAGCTTAAAATTGCTGAGATTGAGAAACACTGATTTAGGATTTCGAGGAAGCATTACATGGACGGATCGCTGGATCTGAAATATTTCTGAGTCGACTGATTCTTGGAACGGTGGCTCTAACTAGTTCCACATTGGAGTTCAAAATTTAAAAAGGAAGCATGAATTGAGTTGGATTCAATCTTGCACGATGAATATGAAATTTAGAAGCTCTTACCAAATAACAAAGCTTAGAACTCCGCATGAGCTCAAATCTGGGTCCTCTCGCTTCCTCTACTTTTCAGATTCATATCTGAGTGGCGGGGCCATTGCTGGGATTGTGATTGGCTGCATTTTTGGGATGCTCCTGATCGTTGCGCTCCTCTTCTTGGTGATCTGGCTGGTCTGCCTTCGGAGAGGTGAGTGGGGCAGGAGGCCAGTCAGAAATAAAGTTGAATTTACTGATGATCTGAGCTCAATCAGTCAGGAAACCATTGGCCATTTATCGTCTCTTCTATGTCAGGGGTGTCAAACTCGATTTCATTGAGAGCCACATCACGGTGTTGTTTGACCTTGGGGGTGGAGTAACAAGGGGGCATGGCTGGGGTAGTGTGCCAGGGGGTGGAATAGCAAGGGAGCATGGCCGGGGTGGGTGTGTCCAGGGTGGGCGTGGCCACCTTGACATCACTCTGTGCTGCTGTGTTGCAATATTTTCAGGGGGAGGCTTATTTTTGGGGAAGGGCTTATTTTAGTGCATATGCTCAAAAGCCTGATTGGGCTTATTATCCGGGGAGGTCTTATTTTCAGGGAAACAGGGTAAGTCAAGAGTTCTAATTCCCAGTGCCCAAAATACTGAGAATGTTGAATGAGGAAACAACTTGTTCTCACGGCCAAGTCAAAGCGATGTTTTGTCTGCCTTTACCCCTTGCAGCAAAGAAGAAAGCTCCACCCACACCACCAGAGAACCAGCACCACTATCTGTCACGCCAGGTGAGCCCAAAAGCGATGGGAGCATAATGAGAGACTGGGAGCAATCTGATAAAAACGGCAGATTGTTGCTCTGTGAAACTCACTGGGAAATGCCCATTTATAATGGCTCAGTCTTCTCGGCAGAAACGGGTTGTCGATCAAAGCAGTCAAGTAGAATTGACTCTCTGAGCACAGAGATTGTAGGGAATGTTTGTTTGCCCGGGAAAGAAAGGGGAAAGAACTTCTTGTGCAGGTAGTCCTCGAATTACGTCTGTAGTAGAGACTTCCGGTGGTACCGTAGGCGTTGAAGGACGCTCCTGTGGGAACACCAGCCCCTTGATTGCGTCTAAGCTGCTAGAACAGCATAAATCAGAGTTGAAAACTCTCCCCTCGGGAAAAGAGGGAGAGGTGAGCAGCCGGGCAAGGGTAGAGCTCCCCTAGACCTCCCAGGAGCAATTCTGGGGCTCGAAGGGTGAGAGCCCCCCAGCAGCCCGACAGAGCTCCGCATCCGGGACGCTTCTGCTGTACAAACGTCGCGACCATCCCTGCAATCAACGTTTTAATTTACACTTGAATAAGAAGCAGGCAGAGCAAAGACAGGAGTGATTATAATTGTGCATTACGTCTGTAGTTGAGCCACAGTTTCAGTTGTTGTGACAGTCATGAACTGGCTCATCCTGTGACCAACTCAATCATATTGCCCCCCCTTTTTTTTGCCACGGTTATTAAGGAATAGGATAGAATAACAGAGTTGAAAGTCCAACCCCCTGCTTAGGCAGGAAACCCTACACCATTTCAGACAAATGGTTGTCCAATCTCTTCTTTAAAACCTCCAGTGTTGAAGCACCCACAACCTCTGGGGACAAGTTGTTCCACTGATAATCATTCTCACTCTCAGGAAATTTCTCCTTAGTTCTAGGCTGCTTCTCTCTTTGATTAGTTTCCACCCATTGCAAGTCAATCCAACCTTCTAGGTGCAGAGTGACTTGGATGCACTGATATTAAAAGTCTCTTGATGCCTGTCCCCGTGTTTTCTTTCAACCTGGCTTTAGTTCCCAAACGGGAGGAAAGTTGAGCCAAGAGACTCTTGGGATAATCCTCGATGGTCATCAGGAGAGTCAGACATCTATGCCATCACCTATGAGGAACATCTACACAGATATCTCAGCACAACCATCTTGGTAGGTCCTGTAATAAATATCTTGCTATGGATAATAGCTCCTGCATTTCCCCGAAAATACGACCTACTCAGAAAGTAAGTCCTAGCTTGATTTTTACCCATGCACCCAACATAAGCCCTACCTCCCCCCCAAAAGAAGCCCTAATTAAGACCCCACCCACCCCAGAGCAGTGGTGAAATCTAAATTTTCGACCACCGGTTCTGTGAGTGTGGCTTGGTGTGTGTGTGGGGGGTTCTGTGGGTGTGACTTGGTGTGGGGGGGTTCTGTGGGTGTGGCTTGGTGTGGGGGGGTCATGTGATTGGTTGGGCATGGCCAACTTTTTTTTCACATTTTAAAGTATTTTTTTCCCCGCCGGTTTGGGTGAATAGGCAGGAAAAAAATGCTTTAAAAAGTGGAAGAAAAGCTTCCGTTAATCGTGTGGATCAGCTGTGAGCCACACGATCGTTGGAAGCTTTTTTTTTTTTTACTACCGGTTCACAGAACTGGGGACAATTGTTTCTACCGGTTCCGTCGAACCAGGCCGAACCGGGAGGATTTCACCCCTGCTCCAGGGTGCACGGGTAAAAATTAAGTTAGTGTGTGGATGGGGAGTATGGAGCTGCCTTACTACTTACCTTTGGATAGCTGCAGCCAGGTTCTACACACCTCGGCCCATTTCTTCTGCAGCCGGCAAGGCTTTCCCGAAAACCTCTGTAGTCAATAAGAGCTCTCCGGATCAGTCCAGATTTCTGTTATCGGCTGCAGAGGCCTTCGGGAAACCCTTGCTGGCTGCAGAAGAAATGGGCCAATGTGTGCGAGGCTCGGCTGCAATTATCCAAAGCCGAAGAAGTTCCCAAAAGCCTCTTACAGCGAAAAGGAAGCCGGGAGAGACTCATGCAAGTGAGGTGAGTCAGTGGACAACATCCCCCCCCCGAAAATAAGACCTGGTACCTTTTTTGGTGGCAGAAAAAAGGGGGTCTTATTTTGGGGGAAACACAGTAGATGCGGTTGCAAGAAGAGCATTTCCTATTCAGATTCTCTGGTGTCCTGCCAGGCTCTCTGACCAACACAGATTTTAATGTGGAATTTCCCTTCCATTTCATTCTCCAAATACTATTCCCCTATTTTTCATTTATTCTGTATGCAAATTAATTTCAAACACTCTCCTAAATGGAGAAACCAAGCGCTGCATACCAAGGGTTGGTATAACAATATCTTCTGAAATATTTTTTTTCTGGGAGATAGATTTTGATATCATGCCTGGTAAAGAGGACGGGGGTTTTGCACAGTAGTGAAATTCAATTTTTTTTACTACCGGTTCTGTAGGCCTGGCTTGGTGGGCGTGGCAGGAGAAGGATACTGCAAAATCCCCATTCCCTCCCCACTCCAGGGGA